TGTGTGTGTGTGTGTGTGTGTGTGTATCCTACATATGATGATAGATAGATAGATAGATAGATAGATCGATCGATAGTAACCCTTGGTTAATATGATAAAAAAAAAAAGGCTGAGAAAATAAATCTGCATTGTTTATCCTTTTGCTCTTTCATTCAAAAAATTCACAAAAATCTAAGCTAAAATAAACAATTTTGTTTTCTTCCAATAAAGGTTAGCTACAATTATTACCACCCCTGGAAATTCTTATGTGTAAAGTATCTCTCAAGTATATCCCTCCTCATATTTAACATATTTTAGCACACCAAGGTGACTAGAAACATGAAATTGTTCAGCCATGACTTCCAGTTTCACAGAAAGGTATAGATACGAGATAACACAAAGGCCAAATTCCCTTAATCATCAATCACAAGTTGTATCTACAAGAAATGTTACAAATCTGCCTGTCTATATTGTCTTAATACAAGATAAGGAGGAGGAGTTTGAGTGGCCAAAGACTCTACAGGGTTCAAAGCTAAAGAATTGTAGAAATGAGTTCAGTCTTGTGGTCAGAAAGCCTCAAGAAATATCAAACAGCACCTACATCACCACAAGTCATTTGGGAGAGTTTCAAGAAAAATCCTCTGCTCTCATCCAAAACCAAACTCCAGCATATTCAGCTGCCAAACACTACTGGTACATCAAATGGGACTGGGTTCTGTGGTCAAGTAAAGCTAAAAAGAGCTTTTTGGCACACAAGAATTAAGTTTGGTGCACTGCACACAGGGATAAAAAGTACCCCATGCCCACGGTTAAATATGCTGCTGGATCTTTAATGTTGTGGGCCTATTTTTCTGCCAGAGGTCCTGAACATCTTGCTCAGATACATGGCATGGACTCTAGCAAATACCAATATACCAGCACATGAAAAAAAATCTCAAAACCTGACTGCCTGTGCTAGAAATCTTATAATGGGCTATGGTTGGATCTTCCAAAACAAACATCAAAATCAACACAAAAATGGGTCACGGATCACAAAATGAAAGTTCTGCCATGGCCATCCCAGTCCTCTGAACCCTACAGAAAATGAGTGGGGTGAACTAAAGAGTAGTAGTTTTATCATTTCATATATATTATTTTTATGACATTTTTAGCTTGAAAAGTGTGTTTGTGCCAATACTTTGT